AATTTCTGTGGTACATCTACCATGTCCAGACACACAGAAAAGTCTCTTGGAGCGTTGCCCTAAACTCAACAGGAAGTCAGCCATTTCTAATTTTACCGCCATTTTGGGATGATTTACTCATTACGTACTTTAACTAACTCCTCCTAGGGCTTTAGTCGGATCGACTTCAAATTTCTGCTGTGCCTTCTAAAGGCATTGACGATGTAAAGTTGTGCTATCTGCGCGTTTTCGTCGATGGGCATGTCTGTGGCGTCGAAGATTCGCCATGAAACAGGAAGTTGTAGTAACTTGGCTGTAAATGCCCAGATCTGCACAAAATTTTACACATTTGACAAGAGTCCCGCCCTGAACAAATCTACATGCCGACATTCACCCACAGTCATAGCGCCACCTGCTGGCAATAGGAAGTGACCTTTAATGAAGCAGCGTAGCAAATTCACAGCCGCACCGGCTGAGCTGCAAAATATGCAACGCGGCCGCCTCACACCCCGACGCGCTACAGGTGCAAGGGCCAGCCCATCGCTGCTTGCAGCTTTAATTTTTTTTTTCTGCAAAGTAAGCGCCATTTTCGTGGCCACAACATGCTCAAAAACTCACCAAATTTGGCATGCATGTAAGGACTGGTGAAAAATTTCGTATTTTGTGGGTTTCGCGGATGGGCGGGGGAAAATGGCTCGCTAGCGCCACCTAGAAAATTGGAAAAAATTAGCCCCTCGTCCACGTTCAACCTACATGCACGAAATTTGGTGGGGACGTGTATCATATCAAGACGCACATAAAAGCCTCAAGAACCCATACCCTAAACTCGACAGGAAGTCCGCCATTTTGAATTTGGCAGCCATTTTGGGACGATTAACACACGCCGTACTTTAACTAACTCCTCCTAGGGATTTAGTCGGATCAACTTCAAATTTCTGCTGTGCCTTCTACAGGCATTGATGATGTAAAGTTGTGCTATCTGCGCGTTTTCGTCGATGGGCGTGTCCGTGGCGTCGATGATTCGCCATGGAACAGGAAGTTGTAGTAACTTGGCTGTAAATGCCCAGATCTGCACGAAATTTAACACATTTGACAAGAGTCCCGCCCTGAACAAATCTACATGCCGACATTCACCCATAGTCATAGTGCCACCTGCTGGCAACAGGAAGTGACATTTAACGAAGCAGCCCCCGCCGCTTGTTTGACTGACATGTACGAAATTTCTGTGGTACATCTACCATGACCAGACGCACAAAAAAGCCTCCAAAATCCATACCCTAAACTCGACAGGAAGTCCGCCATTTTGAATTTGGCGACCAATTTGGGACGATTTACACACTCCGTACTTTAACAAACTCCTCCTAGGGATTTAGTCGGATCAACTTCAAATTTCTGCTGTGCTTCTAAAGGCATTGACGATGTAAAGTTGTGCTATCTGCGCGTTTTCGTCGATGGGCGTGTCCGTGGCGTCGATGATTCGCCATGGAACAGGAAGTTGTAGTAACTTGGCTGTAAATGCCCAGATCTGCACGAAATTTAACACATTTGACAAGAGTCCCGCCCTGAACAAATCTACATGCCGACATTCACCCACAGTCATAGCGCCACCTAGTGGCAACAGGAAGTGACTTTTAACGAAGCAGCCCCCGTCGCATGTTTGACCGACATGTACGAAATTTCTGTGGTACATCTACCATGTCCAGACGCACAGAAAAGTCTCTTGGAGCGATGCCCTAAACTCAACAGGAAGTCAGCCATTTCAAATTTTACCGCCATTTTTGTACGATTTACACACTCCGTACTTTAAGGAACTCCTCCTAGGGATTTAGTCGGATCGACTTCAAATTTCTGCTGTGCCTTCTAAAGGCATTGACAATGTAAAGTTGTGCTATCTGCGCGTTTTCGTCGATGGGCGTGTCCGTGGCGTCGATGATTCGCCATGAAACAGGAAGTTGTAGGAACTTGGCTGTAATTGGCTTTATGCCCAGCTGCACTACTTCCTGAACTTCAGCCAGCTCCTTGTTTCCTGTCTGCCATTATTGGCCAAATTGATTAATTCAGGTGTGTCTGATTATTGTTGCCATGACTACTGAGGTCAAGCACACCTGAATTAATCAATTTGACCAAAAATGGCATACAGGAAACAAGGAGCTGGCTGAAGTTCAGGAAGTAGTGCAGCTGGGCATAAAGCCAATTGCCCAGATCTGCACGAAATTTTACACATTTGACAAGAGTCCCGCCCTGAACAAATCTACATGCCGACATTCACCCACATTCATAGCGCCACCTGCTGGCAACAGGAAGAGAACTTTAACGAAGCAGCTCCCGCCGCATGTTTGACCGACATGTACAAAATTTCTGTGGTGCATCTACCATGTCCAGATGCAGAGAAAAGTCTCTTGGAGTTATGCCCTAAACTCAACAGGAAGTCGGCCATTTCTAATTTTACAGCCATTTTTTGATGATTTACTCATTACGTACTTTAACGAACTCCTCCTAGAGATTTGGGCGAATCGACTTCAAATTTCTGCTGTGCCTTCTAAAGGCATTGACGATGTAAATTTGTGCTATCTGCGCGTTTTCGTCGATGGGCGTGTCCGTGGCGTCGATGATTCGCCATGAAAAAGGAAGTAGTAGTAACTTGGCTGTAAATGCCCAGATTTGCACGAAATTTTACACATTTGACAAGAGTCCAGCCCTGAACAAATCTACATGCCGATATTCACCCACAGTCATAGCGCCACCTAGTCGCAACAGGAAGTGACCTTTAACGAAGCAGCCCCCGTTGCATGTTTGACCGACATGTACGAAATTTCTGTGGTACATCTACCATGTCCAGACACACAGAAAAGTCTCTTGGAGCGATGCCCTAAACTCAACAGAAAGTGGGCCATTTTTGGATGATTTACTCATTATGTACTTTAACGAACTCCTCCTAGGGCTTTAGTCGGATCAACTTCACATTTCTGCGGTGCCTTCTAAAGGCATTGATGATGGGCGTGTCCATGGTGTCGATGATTCGCCATGAAACAGGAAGTTGTAGTAACTTGGCTGTAAAATCCCAGTTATGTATGAAATTTTACACCTTTGACAAGAGTCCCGCCCTGAACAAATCTACATGCCGACATTCACCCACAGTCATAGCGCCACCTGCTGGCAACAGGAAGTGACCTTTAACGAAGCAGCGTAGCAAATGCACAGCCGCACTGGCTGAGCTGGAGAAAATGCAACGCGGCCGCCTCAGACCCCGACGTGCTACAGGTGCGAGGGCCCGCCCATCGCTGCTTGCAGCTTTAATTAGGGCCCGAGCACTAACAGTGCGAGGACCCTTTTGAATCTGTTAGGGTTATTTTTTATTTATTTTTTTTCTGCAAAGTAAGCGCCATTTTCGGGGCCGCAACATGCTCAAAAACTCACCAAATTTGGCACGCATGTCAGGACTGGTGAAAAATTTCGTATTTTGTGGGTTTCGCGGATGGGCAGGGCAAAATGGCTCGCTAGCGCCACCTAGAAAAATGGAAAAAATTAGCCCCTCGTCCACGTTCAACCTACATGCACGAAATTTGGTGGAGAGGTGTATCATTTCAAGACGCACAAAAAAGCCTCAAGAACCCATACCCTAAACTCGACAGGAAATCCGCCATTTTGAATTTGGCGACCGATTTGGGACGATTTACACACTCCGTACTTTAACAAACTCCTCCTAGGGATTTAGTCGGATCAACTTCAAATTTCTGCTCTACCTTCTAAAGGCATTGACAATGTAAAGTTGTGCTATCTGCGCGTTTTCGTTGATGGGCGTGTCCGTGGCGTCGATGATTCACCATGAAACAGGAAGTTGTAGTAACTTGGCTGTAAATGCCCAGATCTGCACCAAATTTTACTTATTTGACAAGAGTCACACCCTGAACAAATCTATATGCCGACATTCACCCACAGTCATAGCGCCACCTGCTGGCAACAGGAAGTGACCTTTAACGAAGCAGCGTAGCAAATGCACAGCCGCACTGGCTGAGCTGCAGAATGTGCAACGCGGCCGCCTCACACCCCGACGTGCTACAGGTGCGAGGGCCCGCCCATCGCTGCTTGCAGCTTTAATCTTGTCATTGAAATTTGTCTCAGTCATTACAGATTCTAAATAATTGTGTCTGGTTTGTCTCAGTTGTTACACCTTACACCCGTCTTTGAAACAAGGCCTACAAGTCTTAACATTAGGTGTGTTCGACATCGTGTGCAGGCGGGGAGGAGCTGCAAACGGAGACGTGACGTCGAACAATTTCTGGTTCCCGTAGTGACCGCTCACGTGGTGTTTGCATGCTTTACCACAGCTGAAGTGAAATAAATGCAACATTTGCCAAATAAACAGATATTTCAGACACATTTTCATTCATAACTTTACTGCTTCATACAGCATCTGTTTGAACTAGAATAAAGTTCAAAATAAGCCTATAATCAATGACGTGGAATCAACGTTTTTTAATCAGTTTTATTTTGATAAACATGATAAACATGACACAATATAACATTGCGACTACATGAAAAGAGTGTTTACTGTTATAAAATACTGATTTGTGAGCTTTAGTGGAACTAAACGTGTGAGAATAAACACGAAACGCACGTGATCGTTGTCATGCGGTGAATCCGGCGAATCGTGGAACAGCTGTGACATCATCAGAGCTCGTGCAGCCGCTCTTGAGAAGCTGCGCTGGCTGAGTCCTCCGGCTACTCTCGTATCGCTCTCGCGGTACTTTGATGGCATATGTCACAGTCACGTGGAGTCAGCGCTGCATCAAGTCGGACAAAATTTCTAACCGGCATGCACTGTTTCAAGTCAGCCGACGATCGGTCTGCGCAGAGCTGCATGAAGTCGAACAAGCCTATTATCTTTGGTATACAAAGTCACATGATGAGCAAAAAATGAAATTCCACACTATCTACTTTCTAAATGCATATAATGGACCTTGTCATTTTATATATACAGTATAAATAGGGTGCGATTTGTGAAAAAAGCAGAGGGGGGATGTTTTTTAAAATTTAATACATATTTTCAGCTTATATTCTTTTATAGACTAATTATAAACTTTAATGAAACAATGTCTGAACATTTTGACAAATAATTTTAAAATACATTTATACATGTTAATTCAGAGCGATATACATTTAAATAGAGCAAGATTTTCACTCTAATGCCTTGTCCTTTCCTCATTGGAATGCACTCATGTAACATTAAAAACATAAGTTTGAGCAGATGTCCCTCTCATTGGTTTCATTTGGATTACATAATCAGAGAATATTTGTTCCCTCAAGCTTTCTATATACATTATTCTAATCGTGACTGAGGCAAGTAGCCTACAGAGTTTTGGTTCCTTTCTGTGACACGCTTCATTTTATGAAGACCAAGAGGGCAGAAATCCTATCCTGTTTGTTTTCTTTATTTTACATAAAAGCATTTTCTGGAATACCTCACCAGGTTCTCACTTTATTGATCAAAAGGAATTTTAATTTGTGCTTGGCTACAGTACAAGAAAATAAGGATAAACTAGGTCTGTCACTAGCAAAAAGGTAATGTATAGTGTCAAAATTCAGATTAGGAAATATTATAATAGGCTAATTTCCCTCTGAAATGAAAGTAATAATTTAGCTAATTGAAATGAATTGCTTGAATAGCAAGTACAAAATGTAGAGATTGATTTATAGATTGACTGGATTGTGAATCGTGGTCAATACTTATATAATTATAATTTCAAGACTTATTATATTTATTTTATTATTCATCAATATAAAGTGGTCTGACTAAAAAAGCAAATAAATTATTTGAATTTTAAATGCTTTTACAGCATAAAAAAAATCAGAACTGTCAACAGTTTAATCTCGGCCCACATTGTGCGTCTCTGTGGGTCGGTCGATTCGGTATAGGAGTTCAGCAGGGAGGAAGTATCCCAGGTACTCCACTGTGTTTGGAGTGGTATCTGTGTAGTAATGGCCCCCCTCACCATGGTGACTGAAGCCATGGGTATGCTCTACTCTCAGGTCAAGACCCTGTGAATTAATAGTACAACAGAAATTAAATTGGGCACAACAAACTTTAGCTAATATGAAATACTTGGCAAAGATTCAAAATAATATTGTCAGAAAAAAAAGGAAGGAATGACATTGCTACTGGGTAGGTACAGTACTCACTGGGTCTCTGGACACCATGACAGTTTGAAAGATCAGTGGTGCACTGACTTCAAAATGCTTAAGCCAGTTATCGACGTCCTTATTGGTGTTTAGAGGGCAGGTAGAGAATTCACATGGCTTAAAGACAAAGAGCAATGAAAAGTAAGGAACTAATTTATGTTGTAACATTTTCATTAGGGCCCAAGCCCTGAAAGGGCGAAGGCCCTATTGTTTTCCTTTGGATTATTTTTTCTTATTATTATTTTACTACCTTTTTGGCACTTTTGGAGCCCTTAAAGGAACACTCCGACTTTTTGGGACTTTAGCCTATTCACCTTATCCCCCAGAGTTAGATAAGTCCATACATACCTTTTTCATCTCCGTGCGTGCTATAAGTCTGTTTGATGCACCCACCGCTAGCCTAGCTTAGCACAAAGACTGGATGTGAATGGTTGCAGCTTTCATACTAATCCAAATGAGTGACAAAATAACGCAAACGTTTTCCTATTTACATGTTGTGATTTGTATAGTTACAGAGTGTACAAATAACAAAGTCAAATGAGACACAGACATCTTTTAACCGTATAAAACCTGGGAACTATTCTCTGAAGGCGAAGCACTGCTACTTTGGTATAACCGCATCACCGGAGACACGCCATGGTGAGGAGCGGAGAGTTCGCTCAGTGTTTGGGTAACAGAGTCAGCAATTTATAAATAGTAAAAGCGTAGTTTAGTCATGGGTTTTCGCTCTATTGTAAATAGCTGCGACAGTAAACAGGGGAGGTAATACCATGTTTCACAGAATTCCAACTAAAAACGCTGACTGGATGAAGAAATGGCTAACTTACTTACTCTGGATATTGATCCAAACACACCTAAATAGATTATGAAGGGACATTATGTTTGCTCGGTACATTTCAATGAGGACGATTATTTTGAAAAAAATGGAATTTGCCACACGGACCATAATGTGCTGAAGGATACGGCCATCCCATCTATAGCACAGACAGGACAAGTGGATCACCTGCGGTGTTCCGTTATGTTTTTAGATGACCTACTGTAACAGTGCCATTAGCCAGATCTAATGTAACGTTAGTGACACTATTATATGATTATAATATATAATTGATTATAATATAAACACGGACGCGCTTAGAAAAAAACGAGCGTGTTGAACTTTTCACCCTGTGCGCCTAGTAGCCTAAATTTGAAATAACCATGGAAATAACGAACTTGAGCGTGCAAAAGGGTACGATAGGCTGTTCAGGCCGAGTTAATTGTGCAAAAACAATTTGTGCTATTACTTTCCCCTTATTCTATCCTATAGTAATGCAATTATACTGTATATTATATGCTGTTGAATGCATTTGGTTCAGCTAATAAATTACATTTAAAATATATTGATTCCTGTAATAATAATTGTTTATTCATGTTCTGTGATATTTATATATCTGGATGCGTTTTTGGTTGGAGTTCAATGAAACATGGTACTGTATTAGCTGGTCTCCCCTGTTTATTGTCACAGCTCGTACAATAAAGCAAACACCCATGATAAACTATGCTTTTCTAACATTAGTAATTGCTGACTCTTCACTCCAACATTGAGCGAACTCTCTGCTCCACGTCACGGTGCATCTCAGGTGATGGTTATCAACAGCGCCCCCTAGAACAGGGTCCGAACACTTGGTCCATAATTCAAACACACTTGCATGTAATAATATGAAACTCGGTACACATGTGGATCTCATCGTTTCATATATACCTCATGCTCTTAATTTTTACCCCAGCCCAACAGGAAGTCAGAAATTTACGGTTGTTTTTAAAACGCATGCAATGGAATTTAATACAGTATACACCTCCTAGAGCATTCATCCACATGGAACGAAACTCGGGCAGCCTGAAGCCAACACATTGAGGATGAAAGTTTGCGAGGGGATTTTTCATATCTTGAACGGTTTGGCCTTGGCGAGGAAATGAAATTATGGTGAGAATGTAGACCTGTGAATGGATTCTTAATATCTTTGAAACTGTTGCCGTGGCAACGCATCAAACTTTACCATTCTTTTAGCATGCTTTTGAGACCCTTAGCATGCTTCAAATTGCATGAAACTCGTCAGACAAATCACATTTATTAGCCAGAAGACATGTGCAAAGTTTCAGAAACGGGCGTGGTGAGGCCTCAATAGCGCCACCTTTTGACAAAAGTGGGGTTGTTAGTTTAATCTACAGTTACAAAAGTCGGTATGTATATTGTACTGCTCGAGCCGGAGAACTTTCTAATTCACACTCATTAATTTGGACCAAAGTCCAAATATAGAGTATAGAAAGTCAGATATTTTGGTTTGAATGCGGTCATTCTCTCTATGAGCATACGTCTCTGTATGGCAAGCCCTTTTAACATTTAAAAGCTAAGTCTGACTATCCAGAATTAACATTGCAGATAACAATGTCTTTCTGACTAGTCGTAATTACATTTTGGATAGTTTGTATTATCATTTAAGATATCTGTAACATAATTGTGACTAGTCGAAACGACAGATAGAGTATGGCAAGCCGTTTTGGCATTTAATCATTTTAACCTACTAGTCTCTATTTTCATGCTACAGTTGTAAAGAACGATACTTTTAAACATCGTCATAAGGTGTCGCCAGGCGACCGTCTTAATGAACGAGTTATGGATTCATTCGTTCAAAATGCTGAATCATTCAGTAATGAGAAAACACTGCTTTGAGATGGTTCGCTGTGATCTTTGTCGAACTATTTTCTCTGCTAAAACAGAAAAAGTCAATATTGCATCTAAAATGTAAGTGACGTGTCTTGTGTGTGTGACTACGTTTGTTGCAGTGATAAGAGTTGCACCCTTGTTAAAGTTTAAGGCCTTGTCTTTCTGGATATACATCATCTTTTTAATAACAAAATATGCATACAACCTGTATATTTTAGATTTATTATTTGCTTTAAATTAAGATTGTATTTTTGATAATTGAACCTGAATGCATTTAAAATTAATGTGCTATATTTCAGATCATATATTTGTTTTTCTTAAAATTTGAACAAACCATAAGTTTATTCTCAGCTGAATTATAAATAATTTATTTCTGTATAAAATAACACATTTGATTTTTCTTTTTTAATCAATGTAGAATGTGTAACTGACAACAGATTAGGGCTCTGTTCGAGGACAAGAAATTAAAACCAATGTGACATGACGAATGTCCAAAAGATGGCAGAGAGAGAGATTTTGGTTGCTTGACAGTTGTAGGTTATCCAGTTTGAATAATTTCCTGTATGAACAAAAGGACAGAGTACAGTATGTTTGTATGCCTCCATTGTTCAATCACGCCTCACACACACGGACATTATTGTTCTAATCAGATCAGGCAAGTAATATCCTGTCTTGTCCCTTAAAAAAAAAAATTATATATATATATATATATATATATATATATATATATGCTATAAGCTATATACATTTATATATAAGCATGCGTTTTCCAAACAACCCTAAATATATATATATATATATATATATATATATATACATACATATAAAAAAATATAGCGATGAAAGGGCCAAAGCCGTGGTGCCGTGGTAACTAAAGGAACCGGGGTTGCGGTGCCACCAGCTTGGGCCCGTCATCGCTGCTCGCAGCTATATTTTTAAAATGTAATCATAGTTCAAGTCACTATATATAAACTTCTATTGAGTTTAACAGTGACTGCTTTCACCAACAAAAAAAGAAAAGAATCACAACATAACATTTGAAAACTATTACACCATCATTCAAAAGTTTGGGATCAGTAAGATTTTTTTAATGTTTTTTGAAAGGTCTGCTCACTAAAGCAGCATTAATTTGATTTAAAAAAAGCCCTCTCTGGTTGTTGTTTGTCTTCTCATGTTTGGAGAATGAATGTGTTACTCTTATCAGAATTTAATTTGTTTCTATTTTGTAGAGTTCATCTCCAAAACTCTCCATAGAGTTTTTTCCACTTTTCTTGAGATCAACTAATCAATCTAATCTTTTGGAAATGCTCTATTATCATAGCCTGGATGCCAGCCCGAACTCCGCCCACAACATTTTTTGGTCGGGAAGTTCGGTCTGGACTCGATCCATTGAGGAGTAATTATGATCAGGCAAGAAATGAACGGGCCAATCAGATTGCCAGGGCGGGCTTTATACGATGATGGACAGATGATCTGCAGGGACGTAATCATCACGTTATCAAAGAGCGCTTAACTGTTTTCCCTCAGAGATGACTGCAGCTGGAGAATTGAGATGTATAAATTCAGCTGTCGCGTCTGTTGTAAAATAAATCGACAGTGCATTAATTTTAATATACAAACAGAGAACTGCAATCAAGGCATTTGTCGATCGGAAAGATATTTTTGGCGTCCTTCCAACATGATTCGGGAAAAGTGTAACTTATCAGCTGGCTCTGACGGTCGTTAAGAAGATGGGACGTAATGAAAAGCCTGTGGTCGTTGTGGTTTCTCCGTTGGTCGCACTCATGGAGAAGTAAGTAAAAGAAGCAACAATCATTATTTAACTTCTAATCTAAAATAAGTAAGTTCTGTAGTTGAAAATTGCGCTATGCAAAGGAGTTGACTTACTGCGTTGCTCTGATTGGTTGTAGGTTTACCGACTATCCAATTGAGTGCAGAGGTTTTTTTTTTTCCTGGTTCGTTTAAGACACGCCTCATAATCAAAGCCCAACGGAGCAGTATCAGACTCATTTTCTTATTAGAAAATGAGTACGACGAAGTCAGGCTACTATTAGCATGGAAAAATAATTTCTCGTTCTGCTTATATGAAGTTGTGTAATAAAAAGCTTTGTGAACTCTATGAACAGATTGGACCAGAAATATGTACAACATCCAACTCCATTATATAATGAAAAGGCTTTTTTGTAATCTGAATATATCTTCTTTCTACTAGCCATGCAAAGCACTTGCATTTCGACTTCAATTATTTTTTTTACTATTCTTTACATCAGTCAAACTCCTTTAAATTCTAATCTTGTTGACAATGTATTTATTTATATTTTAAATCCAACATCCCTCAAATCAATAGTCAAATTTGATGATCCTATTAGTCTAACTAAAATTCTGAAAGCCATTACGTAAATTTCAGAAAATC